ACCGCCGAACTGCCGCTGAAGACCTGGAGTGGAAGAAGCTCAGGGGGCCCGGGCCCCGCGACAGTTTTCCGGGGGCCCCGGAGCGAGTGAAGGACCCCGCTCCAGGGGCCCCGAAAAACTCTCTTGGGGGCCCCTGTGGGGCCTGGGGCAAATTGCCCCACTTGCCCCCCCCCTCTGGGCAGCCCTGCCTGGAATACCCTTGCTAAAAGTCCCCCAGAGGGCAAGGAGCAAGACATTCTCAGAGGGGGAGCCTAAAGACTGGAATTTGCTTCCCCGTTGTTTCCAAAAAGCTTCAATTTGTTGTCCTTTAGGAAATGCTGCATTGCTTATCTATTTGCTCAGGCTTTTCCATAGTATGCATCCTGCAGAGTAGATTGGCGGGAGAGGGAATTATTTTTGAGTTAACTTTTGTCAATTCTATTTTTAATTTATGATTGTTAACTTCTATAAACACATGCATATTTTATAAATCAATCAATAAACGAATGATTAAAATTTAGACCAGAGCTGTTCCTTTATGCACTCCTGAAGCATGAGTTCGGCTGTCCTTTATAGTTGTATCCCAGCTAGTGTAAATGTGGATGACATTCTCAATCGTATAAACATGTGATCGTGTTTAAAACACCTACTAAAATAATAGCCTTAGCTGTGAGTTTCACAGGTTAATTATGTATTGTGTTAAAAAAGCATTTCCTTTTATTAATCATTTTAAATTTGTTGCTTTTGAATTTACTCCCTTTGCCTAATTAGATTCTGTCATTTGCACACTTTAATTAACCAGAAAGCTTGCTGTTGAGCAATGTAAGATTTCCTGCCTCTTAATATCTGGCAGCATTTCCAGCCTCTGCCAATGCAGGAAAAGAAAGAACAGGACTGGGAATCAAACTTGGGGTCTCCCATACAATAGAATATAGCACAGTCATTAGCCACATGGCTAGAGCATCATTTAAATTGAAGATCAATTTTGCACAATACAGATATAACAGCTACATCTGGCAATGCCAAATCTATATTGTGAACCTTATTTATTACATTTGGTAAGGGAACTGCAATGGAATGGGAAAACTGCAGTTAAAAACTGAAGATAGTGTCTGCTCAGTCACAGTGATGAGGTTATTTGAAAGTAAGAAATCTGAATTTAAGAAGAAGTAAATTCTCCAGAAATCGCCAAGAGCAAACAAAACAGATGGATAATAAAGCTCCTTACCAACCACTGAAGCAGTAAACTGTGACACTGGAAATCTGCCAATGCCTTTATCCCAGTTCTCATGAATGAATCTTTGACATTTTATGATGCCCATTTAAGGTAGCCTAGAATGACTGGATTATTTGTTCATGATGTTTTACCTTTTCACAGGTTTGTCTCTGGCTTTGTACTTGAAAAAGCCTGCAGTTATGCTGAGAATTTTCAACTTTCTAGGACTATTAACCATCTTAATAGCACTCCTGCTCTTTTGAATCATTATGCTCTGCAGCAATGCAAGGACTCTATTCTGTTTATACCGTTTTGTATTTTATCTACACAGCTCACAGTAGTTCCTTGAATCAAATGAGAAAAAGAGAACTGCTGTTATCTATACAAGGCAGAACTGGATGGGGGAACTTATGGTATTGCTCTGATTGGTGTATTTTTGTACGTGCCTAAAGCCTAATAGTGAGCTGTTGAGTGCCCTCAACTCTCATTCAATTTGCCAATGAAGTCATTTGGAATTGCGAAAGCTCAGCATCTCACAATAGGTACTCAGCACCTCACACAGTTGGGCCTCTAATTACTCAAACATCACATACAAATATATTTCTGGTAGATGCCTATTCATGTAGAATTGACTAGGCTGTGGGCCAGAAATATGTTCTGAGTTACATACCCTGTAACTTCAGTTGGGTTGCATGGGGTTCTAGTCATATTGGTCCCTTGCTGTAAAATTCTCCATGAGGTTGTCGCTTCTTACAATAACTCAGTGTAGGTTACATTTGAGTTATTAGGTTTCTACAACAATACAACAGAAATAGTTAGGGCAACACCACAAGCCTGCTATCAAATTGAAACCCAATAGCAATTGGGTGCTTCACCCTCTTAGGGCTTGTCTACACTACCGCGCAGGGTCAATCTAAGATACGCAACTTCAGCTATGTGAATAGCATAGCTGAAGTCGATGTACTTAGATCTACTTACCGCAGTGTCTTAACTATGGTAAGTCGACAGCTGACGCTCCGCTGTCAACTCCACTTGCGCTTCTCGTTCTGGTGGAGTACCAGAATCAACGGGAGTGCGCTCAGCAGTCGATTTATAGACGTGATAAATCGACCCCCGCTGGATCGATCGCCGCCCGCCGATTCGGCGAGTAGTGTAGACAATCCCTAGACTCCTTCAGAAAACCAGGTTTTCTTGCCCAGTAGGGTAAGTTTGCATGTGTGAAATTGTGTCATAAAAGTTTTTACATCAACAAGGATAGTAGTGATCACGCCTCTGAAACCTGGGCCCTCTTGTCATTATTTTCAAAATTGCCCTCCACCTCCTGCTGCTCTCTTAAATGCTTTTCTCAGTTGTAATCCACATTGCCTCCTCCCTTCTTTCTGGGGCTGCTGTGGAGAGTTAAGGCTGCAGCTGGGCCTTTTTCAGTTGGAGATTTAAAGCGCTCTGGCTAAGAGCTTCTAACTAGGCTAAAAATACTGAGTGATGTGCAGGGGGGAGGATAAATCTTTTGTAGGAGGCTTGAGGGTAACCTCCCATGGTCTTTTTATTGAAATGCCTGCTGTTTTTGATACAGTTCAAGTTCAAGTCAAGTCAACCTTGGCAGGGATGACAGAGAAGGGGTTAACTATATGGGTAACACTGAGCACTGGGCTCCACTGGTTCACCAGCAATAAGGCAGCCTTGGATTCGTGTATCCCCCAGGCCCCTGGGTCAATGGGGCTCCTTTGGAGCACTACAAGCAACTTAAAGTTGCTCTCTCCCAGCAGAACCCCTGAGGAGAAAGGACAGCAGTGCAAATCGTTAGCTGTCTTTCCTTGAAATATATGTTGAGTTACACTCATGTAATAAATTGCAGGGCCAAGTGGTAAACTCCATTCACCTTGGACCGTTTCACCTCCATCAAGCCCATTAGACCACAGCTCTATAGGAGAAACAATATTCAGTCCTGCACCAAGGACAGGTTTTGTAAAGGGGGTTGTGTTGTACAAAGACAACCAAACTGGATCTGTCAGCCAGGAAGAGAGGATGTGGCCCTACCTGGCCAAAGATCACCTCCACCCAGTCACAGCAAGCACAGCAAAAATCCCCTTAGGGTCCTGTTCTCTCTCCCACCCCTGTCAACCAGGCCTCTGCAAGGGTAACTGCAACCCCTTTCTAGGATAGTTGTGACAATTTGGGGAATCTATGTACAACCTATGAATTCCAGTTTGATTTTATGAACTGCCTGCACCTTTATGTTTTCTGACTGTCTTTTACTGTGTACTGCCTAGCACTACTTGTGCTAAGGAGCCAGGGGAGTGGTGCTGACATGTCTATTCATGAATAGGCCAATTGTTATAGTCTATCAGGACCTAAATAGATCTTACCCAGAGAGTAACTCCTGCCTATATTAAGCCAGTTTTCTCCAATTTCTCTGCAGGGCACTGGAATTTGGAGAGTGGAAAATCCTCAAACAAAAGAACTAAGAGATCAGTTGTTAGCATTGGGTCTTTATCACAGAACCTGAGGGTATGTCTAGGGGCTCAGGCTTATGGCTGAAAAAGTGCTGTGAAGACGCTGGGGTTCAGGATCCAGACTGAGCTCTGGGACCCGGTGAGGGTCCCAAAATTCAAGCTCCAGGCCACGCCCAGATACCTACACAATTTTTAGCCCTGCACCTCAAACCCCTGTGAGTCCAAGTCAGCTGACCCAGGCCCAGCCACAGGACTTTTAGCCCTGTGTAGACACAGCCTGAGAGACTTGGGAGGAATCCAGAGGGACTCTCAGAGACAAAAGAAGCGGGGGGGCTGGAGAGAGGAACAGAGGGGTATGCTTTTGTAGCAGAGGGGTCCTTTTAACTGCAAAACCAGCCACAGAAGAAGAAACCTGACTGCAGCGAGGGGAGAGAGTGAATGAGTGAGCAAGTGTCAGAGAAGCCACATGCTGGAGGGGTATCCTGGACTCCTTAGAGGACTTGGCCTAAGCCCAAAGTATGCTCTAGAGTGGTGAGGAAACTAGGCAGGGAACAGTATATAAGCATTTTATTGTTTGTCTAGATCTGTATATTTCTCATGCTAGCTAAAGTAAAAAAGTTGATTGTTTTTTGGAACCCTTACAAAGCCTGTGGGTCTGTTTGTGTCCACACTGTCCCATGCCCCTGAAGAGGTGAACTGTAAACTCAGAGTGCCCACAAGCCTGGCATTCTGGGAAAGCGTGTACTTAAACTACTGGGGAGATTAGCGGATCAGCACAGGCCCTGGTGGCCTATGCCAGCTGGGCTGTGAGGCCCTACTTCCACAAAAGGGTACCAGACAGAGAGCCTGTGCCTACAAATTGTGTCAGGGAGGCCAGAGAAAGAGACAGTGCTGCAGCCTGCTTAGACCATGGGAAGCTTAAGAGTACACTGTGTGGTGGGACCCAAACCCAGCAATCTGGTGAGTGTCCAGCTCGGGGGAGCTCTACTGGGGCTGTGACAATAGTAACACTCCAAACAGAAGCTTCTTTCCCAAAAACTAAATGCTGATGCTCCAAGACAAAACGTACAAACAGCATTCTTTCCCTGTGGTTCCCCTGTAGTCCTAGCTCAAAGGGTGAGACAGGAATGGAATCAGCAGACTATTGCACATGAGTTGGAGGCACTGAGGAGTGGTTTCTAGGTACTTGGAATTAGTTTTGGAATGTCTTTTAATCTAATCACTTTGTATCAGTTGTAGGTTATGCCCAGTAACTGTAAACCACACTTCATGTTTCGTCAAATGATGCATATTTTTTGGTATTTATTTATCATTAATGTGCATGAAATTCTCTATTTCTTTTTTCTAACCAATCTTCAGGTATCTCAATGCCAGTACCTGTGCTTGGACTACAAGATGATTCCAAAGTGTTCAAGAAAGGTAGCTGCCTGCTGGCTGATGAGAGCTTTGTCTTGATAGGCTCTTTTGTGGCATTCTTCATTCCTTTAACCATCATGGTGGTCACCTATTTTTTAACTATAAAATCACTTCAGAAAGAAGCTACCTTATGCATTAATGACCTTGGCACAAAGACCAAGTTTGCTTCATTTAGTTTTCTCCCTCAAAGTTCTCTGTCATCGGAGAAACTCTTTCAACGCTCTTTGAACAGAGAGCTGGGGAATTCAGGAAGGAGGACTATGCAGTCAATCAGTAATGAACAAAAAGCTTCCAAGGTTCTTGGTATCGTCTTCTTTCTGTTTGTTGTGATGTGGTGCCCGTTTTTCATCACCAATGTGATGGCAGTCATTTGCAAGAAATCCTGCAATGAAGAAGTAATTGGAGGACTGCTTAATGTATTTGTCTGGATTGGCTACCTTTCTTCGGCTGTCAACCCATTAGTATACACACTGTTCAATAAAACCTACCGTTCTGCTTTCTCACGTTATATTCAGTGTCGATACAAGGAGGAGAAGAAGCCTTTACAGCTGATTTTAGTGAACACCATACCTGCTTTAGCATATAACTCCAGCCAACTCCAGCTAGCACAAATGAAGAGTTTAAAAAAAGAGGCTAAAATGATGGCCAAGGATTATTCTATGGTTACAATCGGAATACATCCTTTAGATAGTACCTCAAAGGGCAGTATTAGCCCAGTCAGTGAAAAGGTTAGTTGTGTGTGACTCTGCTAGCCTGTCAACAGCTGCCATGGCAACCAATGGTATGTACTCAGAAAACTTCATCTAACTCTGAGAAGCTTTGATAGCTTAGGAAAATTAGCCCTGTCTAAGAGAACTTCAATAGCATTACATACTCATGTTATCCAGTTGATGACGAACAGGGTTAAAATGCTATCAAATGTGCATTTTTTTCATACAGTATTTCAGCTGTTTTAAGCACAGGCTTTATTAAACTTATTTTTTTAGTATCCTAAATAATATATTTCTTAAAGAAAAATGCAATTTATTGTATTATTACACCATGGGCTGTGAAGAAATTAATGTGTTTCTTTTCCTTCTGCAAATGAAAACAAAGCTATTGTTTGGTTTACTTGCTGGTTACGTTTGAATTAATTTGTCTTGCTACAATGTAATTTTATTTTCATTAACTGAATGAGCACTTTACAGGAGTTTACAGGAAAAGAAAACATCAGTTAATTTATGGATATATATTTAAAATAAAAATTAAAGAAAATGCTATGAAAACCTGTATAGATCAACTATGTGAAAATTTTGGTGTTTTTATGGATATTTTTCCTTTCCAATTACAATTCCGGAATGTTGTTGGGTTTTCTGACATTTGTTCTGTACTTCAAGTTAGTTCTCTTCAAAAGTAAATTAAATTTGAATGTTCCTTTGTCACTACAAACATTATTGAGCTCTATTTTCTATTTCATTTTACCCCTATTCTGAATGTTTCACGTGCACTGGTTTAGACTTTAAAATATACTGTTACAAAAAACCTCTATTGAGCTTGGTTCTCTACTACATTATACTGATTTTACAACAGTGTAAGTGAGGTAACAGGGTGGAAAATCAGGCCCAATACTGCTAAATAATTTCAGGCTTAATCCTGTTGACATTTCTCTTTACAGCTCCCATAGGTTTCAAATAGAATTAATTTCAATGGGAGTTCTGCATGAGTAAGGAGTGGGCTTTAATAGAATATCTTTCCACATTTTTGCTTGATTAGAAAGGACATTATTATGGTATTTTCCTTGTTTTGTTTTAATGTTTCTATACTGAGAATAATTAGAAGACTGAAAAAGAAGTGTTGTTTTTTCTTACTAGAATTTGGTTTTCCTCCATCACATATACATATAGTTTGCTGCTGTTAGCGGGTTGCTCAGGAATGCTGGGCTGATTGCATTATTTGGCTACAATCTTAATGAGGGATGCCTGGGCAGATCCTTACATTTTGTGGAGGCCCACTGAAAATAATGAGATTGTGCAAATGGTGTAGGGTTCTACCTGCACAGATTAATGGCAGGATAGTTAGATTATTTAAAAAAGCATCAAATATTTTACTTTGATAAAAAGGCCTAATCATGCAAACATTTACTACTAGGTATAGCATATATTTCCATTGAACCCAAGAGGATTCTGTGTGGGAGTAAAATTATAGCTGTTGCTACTATCTGGAAGATTGCATCCAAATATTAGACACTTACATGGACTTTACAAACAGGTATAAGAAAAGCAAGGTAAAGTCCAGTTTTAGAGCCTATCAACTGAAAATAAAGGGTCACTATTTGGTCAAAAGTTATGAGCCAAACCCTACTGTCTTCATGAAGTCACTGAGTTTCACCAGTATAAGGAGTGAGTAAATACTGAGTGAGGAATTTAGCATTTGGCCCCAAACCAAATTCCCTTAGATGATGACAAATGAAACAATGTTAAAAATCGAATTTAGTGCCTATTGCGGCCTTGCACCACCTGCACAATGGATGAGTCATAGGAGCCTTCCCTGGTGCAAAGAACAAGTCACGTTTCAGTCTGCACTGACTTCAGTGCAATCATTACTCACCACTAGTGCATACCTAGGAGATCTGAGAGCCATGGTGTTTACCTGAACCACAATATTTTCTGAAGCTCCTGAGTGGGCGAGTGCTTCTGCATACAATCTCCACCACTGGGCTGTGCTTTACAGACATAACTGAGCATTTAATTTCCACTGATTATACTGTTTATTTATTTTCTGCATTTTATTCAGCTTGGCCAACAAAAGCAGACTCCCAATTTCTAGAAAATTTCATTTTCTGTCTCTAACAACACTAGTACAATGTTGCATTGCTCAGGTTGCAAACTGAAGGGAAATGTTGCAGTCTAAACAAGTGATTTTAATTAATTGTTTTACATTTCATTAAAGGATGCCTATTAATATACGATTCTTTAAAACGTATTAAAATAAAATCTATATTTTAGACCTATGCTACCTGACAGTGTCCTTTTTATTAATTAATATAGGTAATAGAGAATTTACTTTTCCATTGGAAAGCAATGTACAAGACATGGAGATTTATATACACACACTCACATGATTTTTAATGTCATTAGCTCTCAGATAGTTGTTTATGCAGGGAGAACAACAGCTTTAGTCCAAGAAGCCTCTTCAAACAAAGATGATGGAATGCATAACAGACAAAGATGAATGTCTCTGGCTCTTCATAAATATCTTTGACAATTTGATTGCTACAGTACCTGATCCTGCAGCCTTACTCTGGCAACATTCCCATAGACTTCAATGAGCTTTGCCTGAATAAGGACAACAGTCCCCTACTTTTTAGTAATAGATTTGCGAGACAGTTAATAAATAGATATCAACTAAGAGATAAATGTTATTGTTGGTAGACATCAGGGTTTAGCAATTTCAAGACCACAATTTATAGCGCCGTGCTGATATCTAGGCACTGTTTGAACTGAAATACCATACTGCTTACTAAGGCTGGTGGGGAAAAGTTATTCCACTTCATGAAAAAAATTGAGATTTTGACATTTGTTTTGGTTCCACATCAGAGAAAAACGAGACCTTGTGACATCAGACCTTGTGACATTTTTCTTGAAAAAAAATGAGAGCTACCACCCCAGGTTAACTCAACTGTTAGGGCTCGCACCTGGGATGTGGGAGACCCAATTTCCAGCCTCTGTGCTCTGAATCAGCAGGCTGTTGGCTATTCTTGGGTGGGGTCTCTCTCTCTCTCTCTCTCTTCCACCCTGGATCTGAGAAACATTTACAATCTAACAGCATTTTTGATGGAAAAAAAACTTTCATCTAAAATCTTTCAACCAGCCTCTGCTGTTTAATAACTTTTCAACAGCATCTGAAAAATGTTCAGTGACTTCAAGCTTCTGTCATAGAATATTTCCTTAGTTTGTGGCTACTGTGCACATTTTTATATACAGTAGGGCAAAAAAATCCTCCATTTCTATCCCATTCATGCAATCATGTACTGTATGTATGTAATCGGTGCCTAACGGTAAGATGCATTCTATTTTGAATACATAACAAATATGTTTATGTAAATACACAAAAGAGAAAAATGTTTGTTGTATTTTGAAAACTTTAAATGTGAAATTGTGCTCTAATGTTTAATTGTTTTCTTAAATCCCATGGCTAGCCAAGCAGATTAAAGCACTCAAATGCCATCAGTTCTTTTATAAATTGGAAGTTTGTCTTTAGTTATTGGGGGGGTTTGTTTGTTTTGGTAAATATTAGGAGAACTATATTAGCTGAAGGCTAAAAAAAATATTAAAGTGTCTTGTTAGAGTCAGACAAAGCAGAATAGCACCTTAAGGAACGTTATGACTTAATAAACACATGGAAATTATGATCATTCTACCTTTCCACTGAATGTATTTCTCTACAACAAAAATGTATTTTCTTTGGATAGGCGATATATATCTGACCGTAAATATTTCAGTTCCAGCAACAGGCTACTTACAATATTAATCAGCCTATCAAACTCATTTGACTCAGGGGAGTGTTAGTAAGATTACTAAGTGCCATAATAAACTACAATATAAGGGCAGTTCACATATACATACATTTTACTTAAACTGCATGACCACAGCGCCATCTCTTGGTAGTTTTTTAAAGTGAATATTATCATAAGAAGAAATCAAAATGTGTTGTGTCATTTAATGCTTTTTTTCCTGCCATTTGCATAAAATAAGCAACTTCCTAAAACATCAAACTGTTAATTGTTCTGTACAGTACATATGATTTTATTAACAACTGTAATGTGTGTTAAAGTAGGGTGGTTGTTAATAAAGTCCCCTCTCAAAACCCAGTGATAATCGCATGAGCTTCATCAGGCTTTGTAATGTGCAGCTAAAATATATATAGCCTCATATTGTTCACAAATTATCAAATTAAGGAACAAAGGCTCCTTTACTCATTGACCAGTGAGGCACCACTGGGCTAACTGTATCTGATGAAAACCCCGGTTCCAAAAATCATCCCATACAATCCTACTTGTTCGTACTAAGCTATTATAGCATCTCTATGTTGGACAGATTCTACTTTCACTTACTCCAGTTTCACACCAATGTAATTCCATTGACCTCAGTGGTATTACTCCTGATTTACACTGCTGTAAGCGACTCAAGAATGAGACCCAGTACCTATATGTTCACATATCCATTCTGATTTCCATTGCTGCAGCTCAATTTCAAAGTCTTTCAAGCCAGCCGTATCATCATCATTATTTAGGTTACAATTCTGCCTAGAAATGCCAGTTGGGACCAAGATCTTAAACAAATCCTGCTTGTTCACACTATAAACAGTCTGCAGTTCTGTGAAACAAAAGGGTTCTGGTTTAACAGAAACAGAGCCAGCACTAGGCACAACCAGACTAAGCAATTGCGTAGGGCCCTGTGAGCAGCTCAAGGGAGCCGCCCATTCACTTTTTATTATGTGTTGGGGGCAAAATATTCCTGCTTAGGACCCCCAATGGGGTAGCACCACCTCTGAACAGAAGGAAACTAAAGTAGACAATTCAGTAAGCAGTTGTAGTTCAAAATAATAGAATCCAAAATCTGAATGAAGACTGCAGTCTTGAATTGTTGCTTTCTGCATGGATAAGGAGTTTACTCTTCAATACATACAATCACCAGGTATTATTTTGCAACTAATTCATCACTGAAAAATTCATATGCACAATATTCTATAATGCAACAAATGGACAAGAATACAAGTATTTGGCTTTTTCAGTCACTAATAAAAATCAGCTTTTACAGTCCAGCAGCATAGGTTCATTATAATGAACACGGGTGTAGTTAAATTCCATTTAGAATTAAGTAAAAGTCCCAGACTGTTTCAATTTTATGCAAAGTGCATATTGCAACTCCAGTATCAGTGAATGTTTACATACAGTTCCGTAGTTCTGTGGGGGTGTGGGAAGGGTGAGATAAAGACTGCTTTACTGTAAGAAGTAGTCATGGTACCAGAATTCCTCTGTGTTTTTCTGAAAGCGCCTTCATTGAGTTAACACTTATTATGTAGTTTGCCCTAATTGTTAAAAGAGATTTCATCTGGTTCATCCATCTGGCAGTTCCAGCTGTAAAACAAGAGAAGATGTCTGATCTGCAAGTTTATCACTGCATGATTTGAGGGGACAATTGAATTTTTGAACTGCTGAAAATATGGCATATATTTGGCAGGTTTCTGTGCTGCGGTGACGTTCTTTGGGGTGTATAACCAATTTGTTACAGTGCTTACCACATGACACCTAACTGTAGATGACTTTAGTATTGGCATTATGGATCTTCCAAACAGAACAAGATTCCAGGAACAACTACTTTAAGGTGTGCTTCAACCTTATTCTATTTGACAATAATATTGCTACTTTAGTCACAGCCATTTTACCAGAGAGGCCTTTATTTCACCTGAGACTGTAAACTGTTATAACAATGATTCTAACACAGTGTGATAAATTATGTCCAAAAATTTATTAATTCAATAAAATCTTTACATACTTCAGTATGACCAGGAATCTTAAATTCATAGATTCTAAGGCCAGAAAGGACCAAATATAATGAAAAGTTGAGGGGCCAGATTCTTTCATTTCAACTCAATGGGACCACTTGCATGTAAAGTTATTCACATGCTTAAGTATTTGCAGGGTGGGAGCCTTTCACTTGTGAAAATCAGGAGTAACTCCATTTAAGTCATTGGGGTTCCATCAGTGTAAAACTATTTCTAGACTAGGAAACTGCATCATGTTTAAAAATGTGTTAATTAACATGTTTTAATTAGACAAGGTGAGTGAGATATTATCTTTTAGCTGACCAACTGCTGGTTGTGAAAGAGGCAAGCTTTCGAGCTTACACAGAGCTCTTCTTCTGAGACCTGGGTAAGCTCGAAAGCTTGTCTCTTTCACCAACAGAAGTTGGTCCAGTAAAAGATATTACCTCAGCCACCTTGTCTCTCTCACATCCTGGAACCAACAAGCCTCCAACAACACTACAAACAACTTTTTAACTAGCAATTTTGTAATACTAGTAGAGGCACTCAGGTGAGTATGGGAACTACTCTGCATGTGCCCATTGGGGCAATAATCACCCAAAGGAGACAAGGAGAGATGAAGAGGAAGTAGGACATGGCCCTGTCTCCCCTCCACACCAGGTGACAGAACTTGTGGCAGTCGAGAGAGGAGTAAACTGCACCATTCTACAGGATGGTTCAGCATATATGTTTAGGCTCTGGGGTGGAAGTGGGGCAAAGGGAGAAAGACCTCGGAGTCCTGGTAGACCACAGGATGACTGAGTCGACAATGTGACATTGCAGTGAAAAAAGCCAA